CACTCATTTCACACGCTAGCAAGGTTATGCTCCAAATCCTCCAAAGTACGCTTCAGCAGTATGTGGACCGAGAACTCCCACAAGTACAAGCTGGAATCCGAAGGGGCAGAGGAACTAGAGACCAAATTGCTAACATGTGCTGGATTATGGAGAAAGCTAAAGGTAAAGGTTCCCCTTGACAATTTTTGTCCAGTCATGTTCGACTCTAGGGGGCGGTGCTCATCCCTGTTTCCAAGCCAGCGTTTTGTCCGAAGACAATCTTCCATGGTCACATGGCCAGTGCGACTTAGACACGGAACGCTGTTACCTTCCCACCGAGGTGGTCCCTATTTGTCTACTTGCATTTGCATGCTTTTGAACTGGTAGGCTGGCGGGAATGGAGAAAGCCAGAGAGTTCCAAAAAAAGTCTACTTCTGCTTCATTGACTACGCAAAAGCCTTTGACTGTGTGGACCACAACAAACTATGGCAAGTCCTTAAAGAAATGGGAGTGCCTGACCACCTTATCCATCTCCTGAGAAACCTATATGTGGGATGGGAAGCAACAGTTAGAACTGGATATGGAACAACTGATTGGTTCAAAATTGGGAAAGGAGTACGACAAGGCTGTATATTGTCCCCCTGCTTATTCAACTTATATGCAGAATACATCATGCGGAAGGCCGGACTGGAGGATTCCCAAGCCGGAATTAAGATTGCTGGAAGAAATATCAACAACCTCCGATATGCAGATGATACCACTCTGATGGCAGAAAGTGAGGAGGAATTAAGGAAGCTTGCAATGAGGGTGAAAGAGGAGAGTGCAAAAAATGGCCTGAAACTCAACATAAAACAAACCAAGATCATGGCCACTGGTCCCATCACCTCCTGACAAATAGAAGGGGAAGATATGGAGGAAGTAACAGATTTTACTTTCTTGGGCTCCATGATCACTGCAGATGGTGACAGCAGCCACAAAATTAAAAGACGCCTGCTTCTTGGGAGGAAAGCAATGACAAACCTTGACAGCATCTTAAAAAGCAGAGACACCACCTTGCCAACAAAAGTCAGAATAGTCAAAGCTATGGTTTTCCCTGTAGTTATGTATGGAAGTGAGAGCTGGACCATAAAGAAAGCTGACCACTGAAGAACTGATGCCTTTGAATTGTGGTGCTGGAGGAGACTCTTGAGAGTCCCATGGACTGCAAGGAGAACAGACCTATCAATTCTGAAGGAAATCAAACCTGAGTGCTCACTGGAAGCTGAGGCTCCATTACTTTGGCCATCTCATGAGAAGAGAAAACATCCTGGAAAAGACCCTGATGTTGAGAAAGTGTGAAGGCAAGAGAAGTGGATGACAGAGGACAAGATGGTTGGACAATATCATTGAAGCAACCAACATGAAATTGACAGATCTCCGGGAGGCAGTGGAAGACAGGAGGGCCTGGTGTGCTCTGGTCCATGGGGTCACAAAGGGTCGGACACGACTAAACGACTAAACAACAACAACCTTTTAAGGCTGTTGTTATGTGCTGTCAAGTTGCCTCTAATGAATGAATGAATGGCCTCCACAAGATCCTTTCACTAACAGCCCTGCTGAAGTCCTGCAAACTCAAGGTTTCCCTGGCTTCCTCTTGAGTCTACCTCTTTTCCCACTGCCCTCCACTTTTATGAGCATTTTGTCTTCTCATTGTATGTCCATATTTTGCTAACCTCAATTTGGTCATTTTAGCCTCTTAACCTTTCAAGGTGTGGTAGTTATCAACACACAGTATTAGCAATATGTGTGGTGCTGAGGCTGCGAGTGAGCAGCTTGCCTAAGATTACCTGTGAAGTGCATAGCATAAAAAACAGGGATTGCAACTTCCCGGTTCTTAGTTTGTGGCTCTGGATGATTCTGAGCAGGGAGTAGCAACATTTGCTACCTCTTTTGTTCTTAAGCTTTTTTTCCCCATGGTAACAGAAAAGATGAAGGAGGCAATGAGAAAACAGGGAAACAGATTTCATCAAGATCTCTCATAAAAGTTTGTGTTTGAACCAGGACGACTGAGCAATAAAGGTGTCCCCTGCAACCTCCCACAGCCATCATGCGAAAGCAGTATATGGAGTCCAAAGGAAGCTCTATAGAAAAACATGGCATCTGGTGCTGCACAGCAGTCAGACAGTGCTCTCCCACCCCTCCATTTAGGAAATGGCCAAGAGAGACTGGAGACTGAGAATAAGTTTTGCTCTCCAGTTAAGCCACTAGAGAGCAAAAGGCCAGTTAATAGGGACTCTATGGATCTTTGAGGGTCAAGAAGAGGAAATTCTTTATAGTGCAGAGACCTAAAATAGCAGCTCCAATGAATATGACCTGTCTGTTGCAGATGGAGGGCTAGCTTGTAACTGCAGCTCTTTCTAGTCACATCATGTCCTACTTTAACCAGTCCTGTTCAAAGTCTGACAGGGAAAAGTCTTGAAGATCTTGCTCAGTCTGGTTTGAAGAACCAGGGGATCAAGGATCTTACAGATCCCCATCAGCAATGACCACCTCGACTGCAGTTTGGTCAACATGCACACTAGTCACCTACCTTGTTACAGACGCTGTGCTGAGCAGTATTGAATTTTTATTGAAATGAACAAATTCCTATATTCGAAACTATACATACATTAATGACCACATGGAAATCTGTCCACTTTGGTCCTCTTTTCTTTTCCTCCTTTTCAAGTAGCATAAGGGCCACCTAGTTCCTCTTCCTTTTTGGACAGGTGCAACTTCTTCTATAATCCAATTAGAAATGCTTAGGATGGAGAAAGTGGACCTTTGGTCCGTGGAACTAATCCAACTACAGGAAGGGGAATGAACTTCC